AGCGCAGATCCGAGAAATCACCGGGAAGCTCCAGAGGTCTGTGTTTATGCAGTGTTTCCGTCTTCGAGCTTTTTTTCCTGATGAAGACGCGCAGCAACGAAGGCCCCTTACACGCGGCCTGGGGGCGAACAACTCCCCTGACTCTCGGCGCCAACCGAAAATCTGATGTACACTGCTGTGCCAGTCCTCTAACCAGGCGTTCCGGTTTTGCCGTCCGTCTGCGAGTGATGTGTTCTTCCTTTTTCGGCCTCTGGAAGTCCTCCTTGTCGGGCCCCAAGGCCGTCCCCGGGGGGGAGGGGCCCAGACTTCTGGGGCAGCCACGCGGGGAGCAACATCGCGACGTCGGGTGTCTGGGGCCGTCTGCGCGCACAAGCGGGGCGGCCCTCTGAGGAGCCCGGAGGCCTCTGCGAAAGCCATGGGGCCTTCGCAGACGCCCTCCCGGCCTTTGGGCAGCCTTGGGGGAGGCATCGAAACACACTCACGCAGACACACACAAAGGCGGGATCGACAGAAACTGTGTCCTCGACGCCCTCCACCCTCGAGCCTCTTCTCCTCATTCTTCCTACTCCGGCGACGACGCGTCCAGATCATCCCCGGGGTGGCGATCACCCCTTCGGGGCCGGAGGACAGGCGGGCTCTCTCCTGCAGCGGCTTGGCGAGGCTCGTCATGACGTCGCCGATTAGGTTGTCGCCGAAGGTCACCGCGAACAGGGGGGCCATGCAGGTGCGCCAGACGCCGCGCATGACCTGGGGGCTGGGTGGGCCCTTACATCCCCGCGTATACGGCGGGACAATTTCAGCCATGTGAGGGGGGGTCCCAAAACCACGTGATGAAAGTTCGCGCGGTGACCGCGAAATCGTGAAACACCTCACCACACCAGACAATTTTGGATTCTCGGAAGCCCCGGGCACCCGAGCCTTGGAGAGCGACCCAAATTTCAAAACCGCGCGGTCACCCCGAATCCCCACTGACTTACCACACGGTGTGATCACCACACCGTCTGGCCCCTCCCCCCCCGAAGTTTTGGTCTCTGCGGGCCCTTACCTGTCCAAGAGAGGGGGGTGCAAATCATGACCGGCGGCATGTGCGCGACCCCAGCGGGGGGGCCTGGGACGTAATGAAATAAGAAGAGGCGCCATGAAATCTGAGGGAACATCATGGCCCCCGCCATGATATCCACCCCCCCTAGTCATCACCCCACTCTTTTCCGCTCCCGAAACATAAACAGCTCAGGATGAAAAGCCGGTCTCCCTGGGTGTGGGGGACTCTCAAGTCTCCCGGGGAGCCACGCGGGGAGCGAAATCGCAACTCCAGATGCCCGGGGGCGTCGAGCGGCTCTCGCGCGCGGGGGTGGTGAGGATGCGTAGGGAGAACGGGAGGCGCAAGGAGAGGTATACCTGTGGTAGCCATTGTTAACCAGCCTCGAAAGTATCCCTATCCCTAAGATGGGCGAGCAAAAAGCGACGACAATCTTAGGGAAAGGCCCTCAGAAACTGAGGGAATCCTTAAGATCGGCATCGAGGTGAGGTGATGTCAAACATAGGGATAGGGATAGGGATATGTTTCAAACTGGTAAATTGTGGAAGGAAGTAAGGACAGGGTAACACAACTGAGAAGAAGAGAGGGGGGGCTTTGAAAACCAGCGCTGGCGCCTGTGGGAGTGGAGGGAAGCTGCAGGGAAGGATCGGCGGACAGATCAAGCACATATGAATACGTATCGTGGGGCGCAGGACAAACTGGTACTGTGCGCCCCCTGGGAGGCGCACGTCCAAACCGAACAGATGATGGTACAAACATCATCGAGTATACAGTCAAAACGTGTATTAAGGACGGGTGATAAGGACGCAAGACCCTTGGAGGCCGAAGTTGGGTTTTTTAGGGCGGCGGGCGACCAGTGATAATGGTAAGGACGGGCTTCAGAGACAAGGACACAAGGGTACCCTAGATGACGGCGCGCGTCCTTACTAGGCGCGTTGACTGTATCAATGCTGGAGCGGGGTGGCCAGAGAGCACTCGCCACCAGCGTGTGCTGCGCGATGTCCGAGCGCGCGCGTCGCTCCTGGGGGGCCGACCCTTTCTGGGTGATGCCGGCATCGGGACACCTCCACAGACACACCCACAACAAGAAACGAGCAGACTCGCTGAACATGCACAGTGTCCGGCTTTGCGCCAGAGCCGCTCACCTTGAACGAACATGGACATCCCCCAGAAGCTTGCAGTCGGGCATTCTCCGATTCCACGAAGAGAAGAAGAATGGAGGTGCAGGCATTCTACGACGTCGTGAATTTCGTCGTTATCTTCATACCCCCAAGAAGGTCTGGATTCCCAAAACGATGCGGTGACAAATCGTGCGGTGACATCGGAATCCTCAACGCCTTCACCGCACGGTCCGTCACCGAAACTTTTTGGGGACCCCCTTATCCGCGTCGAATCCGTGTCTACCCCCCATTTCGGGCTCAATCCGCTTCGAATCCGCGCCGGATCCGCGGCGAGTGCACGCCAAATCTGCGTCGAGTCCGCATCGAGCCCGCGTCGGGCGACCGAAAAGACACCCATCTTGGGCACAGAGGAGGTCCCCCCAGAGATGCAGCTCACCACACGGTGTGGCCACCACACGCCGCTTGGGAGCCCCGAAAGGTGAGCCACCGCCGACACTCCCGATCGCCCCAGCCCGCGGGCGCCCCGCCGCGAAGGATGGGGCACTCGCCAGCGATCGGTAGCGACCCCTTCGGGGCCGCGGGCCTCTGGAGGCCCCGGGGGCGTGGGCATCGGACGTCGTGATTCATCACGTCGGATATCCTCCAGTCGCGAACAAGAAGGTTTCCTGGGCAGCGCTGGCGGACGCTGGCGCGCGGGTCGGCACCAGCGGAGCGCACCGCTTGCCGTCGCTCGGACGTCCATTCCCCGTGCATGTTTTGGTTTCGTGCGTGTTTTTTCTTTGCTCGATGGTCCAGGATGCTCCTCGATGGTTCTCTAGGGGAACAAGCAGTCACATAAACATAACAACTCGGAGGTCCGCGCAGATTTCTCAGATCGGCGCTGGACCTCCCTCCCTGGCGCGCGGAGCGCGCCAGGGGCGGCGCCGGAGGCGCCGCCGGGGAGCCCCAGCGCCGATCCGCGAAATCCGCGCGGACCTCCGAGTTGTTATGTTTATGTCATTGTTCGTTCCCCTATTCTCGCCGAGAAAACATGCACACGTCCGAGCGATGCCAAGACCGGGCGCGCGCAGAGACGAGCGGAAGACGGCGGGAGGCTTTTTCACATTTTTTCGGGCTCCGCGGGGGCCCACGCCGGGCCCCGGGGGCTGGCAGAAGGACCGACTCGAGGTGCAGATCGGGCCCCGGGGGAGGAGGAGGAGGAGGAGGAGGAGGAGGAGGAGGAGGAGGAGGAGGAGGAGGGCCACGATGTGAAAGAAGCCACGACAACGAAGAGGTCAGATGTCCGGGGAGGCCTGGACCTCTCATCGCGAGGCATGGGACCTGGCAGGGGCCCCCGGAGGCCAAAAATTGTCAAAACCCTCCCGTCGTGACTTTTCACGACGCGATGGTGTTAGGGAAGTCGCATGCCAGCTTTCGCCACGTGCGCCGATTCGTATGCAAGCTCGCGCCGCACACTCTACGACGGCCCATGGCAGCGTTACGGAGCTCGATCCACCTTGGACTCAACTTGGCTGGGCAGATAAGTTGGCGTCAGCTGGGCTGTGGCTCGCGCATACCTTACAAATAGCTCTCTAAGCTTGGTTCGGTCGGATTCAGAAGATCCTCGTTGTCAACATTCAACAGATCGACCGAAGTACACAACCACGCTTTCGCCATGTAGCTATCCTGCCAAGCATTACGGTCGCCGTGATACCACAAGGAACGCCGAAGAAGCAACGACGGGGCGTTCCTGGCCGCGGCGAGGGCCGGCAACGTGTCGTTGGCCCGACCTGCATCTTGAAAACGGCCCGAAAACCAGAGTCCCATTCTGAACCCCTGATGGCCTATATTTCAGCGTCCTGACTGCCTGGTAAAGAGTGCCGCCAAAACGACCCCCGTGTGCCTTATGTGTACATCCCGCTGGCGGAGAGGGAACATGACAGAGCACGCAGACCTGGGGAGAGGGCGGTCGATCGCCTCCTCCTCCTCCTCGCCATCCCCCTGGTCCCCCTCACACACTTATCCTCCTCTTCCCCTTACTCGCCTCTGCTACCCCTGCAGCATTACCAGAGCATGTTGTGCCCTCTGATACATAATCACTCTCGAACATCCTCGATGCGAGCCTTCACTCCATCACTCAGCGGATGTGCTCGGCGTACGAGTAGCAGACGAGGATTCTATTGTGCAGCGCGCATGGAGTATATCCCTCTCTGAGGCACCATATCGTCAAGGCCGAAGGTTTACGGACAGGTGCTGCTAAGCTCCTTCTTTAAAGGACTCTACCCAAGCTCAGTTGGTAGACAGGCCATAAGACTGCTCGCCCATGGTGCATGGCATGACGCTGTAGAGGGGGTCAGTGGCGCGCATGTCGGTGTGGATGCCATCGTACCCGAGCCCACGGTCCAGTTGCTGATCTGCCACCGATTCGCGGTGGGGACTTCGATTCCTTGTGCGTGGAGCTCCTTCTCTTACGTACTTCGTTCGAGCACACGCTCAAATCAATTGCCAAGCTGCCAGGCTCTCGAGATGACGAAGCGGCGCGAAGATGTGGCCATCAGGGTGCCTCGAGAGGTCGTCCGAACTGGGCCAGGTAGCCCTCGGACGAGTTCCTCCACTCGAGGACGAAGTCGTCGAGCTTCGCCGCCCAGTCGTAGATCTCGGCGTCCACGTCCGTGTGCGGTCCTTCCTGGTCGCAGGTCAGAAATATTGTTTCTGCAAGGAGTCGGCTGGTGGACGTTCGTGGTCGAAACCAGACCGGTCCCAAGCAATCCCAGATTGCATTCCCAGCGCCGCTGGGCACCATGGGCAACGCTCGTCAGAGCTGCATTTGGCACGCGCGACACAGAGAGGTGATGCCATGGCGCCCGAGAACACTCGCATGGTCGTGTCCCCCTTGGCGGTTACGAGGTCCTGCACGACCGTGACCCGCTCGAAGTCGAAGTCGACGGGGAGGCCCCACGGCCGTACCTGCACCGCCATTCACGAGTCGGTGGCCTTCTTCAACATCTTCCACCTCCAACCTTCACGCAATGCGTGTCCCAATGCTCGCCGTTCCTTCCAGCGCTGCGAGTCCCTCGCCAGAGAAACGGGTGATCAAATCGCTTGGGAGCTACTCGTGCTCCCACGCCCAGGCCTCCGATCTCCGCCCCCACCCAGTCCAGGTCAGGTGGCGGTCGCCATCCGCGCGGGTTTCTTGGATCGGCGCTGGGGCCCCCCCTGGCGGCGCCTCCAGCGCATTCCGTGGCGCGCTCCGAACTCCAGGAAGGGGGGCGCAGCGCAGATGTGTGTGTGTGTGTATCTGCGTATGTGTGTGCGTGCGTGTGTGTGGGTGTGTGTGTGCGTTGTGTGTATGTGTTGTGTGTGCTGTGTGTGAGTGCGCGCGTGCGCGTGCGCGTGCGCGTGTGCGTGTGCGTGCGCGTGCGCGTGCGCGTGTGCGTGTGCGTGTGCGTGTGCGTGTGCGTGTGCGCGCGCGTGCGCGTGCGCGTGCGCGTGCGCGTGCGCGTGCGCGTGTGCGTGTGCGTGTGCGTGTGCGTGTGCGTGTGCGTGTGCGTGTGCGTGTGCGTGTGCGTGTGCGTGTGCGTGTGCGTGTGCGTGTGCGTGTGCGTGTGCGTGTGCGTGTGCGTGTGCGTGTGCGTGTGCGTGTGCGTGTGCGTGTGCGTGCGCGTGCGCGTGCGCGTGCGCGTGCGCGTGCGCGTGTGTGTGTGTGTGTGTGTGTGTGTGTGTGTGTCTGTGTCTGTGTCTGTGTCTGTGTCTGTGTCTGTGTCTGTGTCTGTGTCTGTGTCTGTGTCTCTGTCTCTGTGTGTGTGTGTGCGTGTGTGCGCGTGTGTTTATTGTGTGTGTGTCTTTTCTCTGTTTCTCAACCCTCCTTGGTTGGGTATTTGTTTAAATAACGCACTGCGGTCGCGTCCTCCTCCTCCCGCCTCCCGCCTCCTGCCTCCCGCCCCCACTCCTTGTTGTCTCCTCTTGCATTGTCTGGGAGGAGTGACCTGCGAAACTGTCGCCACTTTCGAGGGCTGCTGGTGGGTCCAGCGGAGTGAAGCACCGCGCGGATCTGAGCGGGACTTCCCCGTCCATAGGGGGCTGCGATCTGCGAAACTGTCGCCACGTTCGAGGGCTGCTGGTGGGTCCAGCGGAGTGAGGCACCGCGCGGATCTGAGCGGGACCTCCCCGTCCCTGGGGGGTTGCGATCTGCGAAACTGTCGACACTTTCGAAAGCTGCTGATCGGTCCAGCGGGGTGAAGCACCGCGCGGATCTGAGCGGGACCTCCCCGTCAGTAGGGGGCTGCGATCTGCGAAGCTGTCGCCGCTTTCGACGGCTGCTGGTGGGTCCAACGGAGTGAGGCACCGCGCGGATCTGAGCGGGACCTCCCCGTCCCTGGGGGGCTGCGGTCTGCGAAACTGTCGCCACTTTCGAGGGCTGCTGGTGGGTCCAGCGGAGTGAGGCACCGCGCGGATCTGAGCGGGACTTCCCCGTCCATAGGGGGCTGCGATCTGCGAAACTGCCGCCACTTTTGAGGGCTGCTGGTGGGTCCAGCGGAGTGAAGCACCGCGCGGATCTGAGCGGGACCTCCCCGTCCCTGGGGGGCAATGTCATGTTGTTGCTGCCCCGTCGACGTTTCAAGCCCCTTGCCCACCGTCTCCTTTTGGACCTTGCGTCTTCCTTAGTGACTCAGGGTTTCACTCAGCTACTCATCGGTTTTCCCTTGATTGGAGACTTGCGAACCTTCCGAACGCCGCTCGCAGGAGTATGTGCATCCATGTCACGCCGCCGCCTTCTCGTCGACTCTCCCAGGCCACTCCTGCCCCGCACTGCGCAAGGGTTGGGTACGTCGCCAGGGTAATGTTTCACTCTCGTTCTCTCGCTCTTTCTCTCTCTTTCTCTCCTCCAGGCAGGAGGAGGGAGGATGAGGAGGAGGAGATAGGAGGAAGAGGAGGAGGAGGAGGAGGAGAGAGAGGAGAAGGAGGAGGAGGAGGAGGAGGAGATAGGGAGGAGGAGGAGGAGGAGGAGGAGGAGGAGGAGGAGGAGGAGGCCTTCCCCTTGGGCCCGGGGCTCCCGCGCGCGGCCGGAGGGCGAGGCCGCGGGCCCGGGCCTGGGCCTTGTAGGCGCCGGAGCACACGCCGGAGGGCGCGAGCCCCGCGAGCAGCGTGCACGCCAGCAGCGCGGAGGGGTAGAGCACCTAGCAGGGCGTCTGGCCCCGGAAAGCCCCCTCTGACTACCTACCAGACCACCCCAACCCAACCCGAAGACCCGAATTTCGTGTTGGGGGGGGTATGGGCTCCAAATGTGTTTTTTCTATGTTCCCGGACCCCCCCCCACTAGAAATCGAGAGTAAATCTGAGCCTTCGGGTTGGGTTGGGGTGGTTTGGTGGGTGGTGACCCCCTGAGAAGCCAGGACAGGGGCAGAATCGGCCAGGGGAACTCGGAGATCTCCGAGAGCGGGCGGCTCTGGAGCACGTCTTGGGCGCTGCGGCCTGCTCGGAGCGTCCAGGGACGCTCTCCGAGAGCGCCGCGGGACGCTCTGAAGCGATGGGTCCCTGTCCTTGCTCCGCCCGGGGCCTCCACCCTGCAAGGCCCAGGGGCCTCAACCAGAAAAAATCCGCCTTCTTGCCTCTGTCCCGCGAGCCAGGGGTCGCTGCTACAACTGCAGCGCTGACGTCCTCTCAAGGAGGGCCGCGAGCTGCCCTTTTCCTTGCGCCTTCGCCGCGCCCCTCCCGGAGGGTCGGGTCGGACGAAGGGGGGGGCGGGCCAAGGGGGATTAGCAAATCAGCTGCAGGTAGCTGTTCCCCCCGGCGCCTCGCGGCGCCGAAGCCGTCAATGCATCTATGAAGTCGCCTGGCGGCAGGACTGAGGCCAAACGCACGCAACCGATTCCGCAAATCCCTCTTCTCGATCTCGGTCTTCCGTCCGACCCGGCAGGCGGAGGAGGGACAGGCACGGGGAAGGGGGGCGGGAAGGGCGGGGGGGGAGGAGGACAAGGTCTACGCAAGGGAATGGGAGGCGAACAGACCCCGCTTCTCACGCTCCTCATTCGAGCACGCACCCCCTGGACGACGACGACTACGACGACGACGACAACGAGTGGCGACGACGACGACGACGCCCTCGTCCTCCCCGCGGGCGGAGGGCGCACAGTACCGCCCCCCTGTCCCTTCACCCCTCCTCGCTCTTCGTGCCAGGGGCAGGGCTTCCTGCTCCAGGCATCGCCATCCACTGTCTGCGGCTCTCCTCCTCCTCCTCCTCCTCCTCCTCCTCCTCCGCCGCCTACTCCTTCTCCTCCTCATTTTCGCTTCTCCTCTTCCTCCTAGTGAGGCCAATTTGCTGATCGGTATGTCGGGTATTTGGGCTGAGACGTCGGTGGCGCCTTGTGCTCAGGCATTGGGTTCTGGGTCTTGGGCATGTGTGGTGCCTTAACCACCGTTGTTATAGTGATGTTGCGCTGCTGAGTGTCTCTCAGAGCTGCAAGTTGCGTTTGTGAATCTATGCCAAGTACTCCTGGTATTGCCGCTGGTGGTCGCGTATTCTAGCTACGTAGCGCAGTAGTTGCTGGTCGTTTGCGTCGTCAATGTTTGGGTCTCAATGAAGCCGTCGCACGCCTGCATGGGTGCAAGGCCAATTCGTCCGTCTAGGATGGCAGGTGGAGCCGCTGGTGGGAAGTATGCTTGGATGGTCGCTTGTATCTGTGGTGCGCGTAAATCTGGTGTAATGTCCACGAGACATCGCTGTGGCGTTGTTGCTCTGGGTGGTGGGCAGACCACTCGGATCTTGAGGTACGGTGGTGGCGGGTGTATTGGGCTGCAGACAGCACTGTTGCTAGTAGAGGTGGTCTGTAGCCTTGGCGTCAATGTCTCAACTGTATGCTGGTCAGTAGGATGTGCACTTACCGGTTGAATCGCTGGTTCATCTTGGGATGTAGGTGGTGGCGCGGTGTCGGAGTAGACGCTGCTGACGTACGAGTTCATCGCTCATGAGTCCACGATTTTGCTCTCGCTTCGTTTTGACCGTTGATCCTCTGTGGCAGATGTGCCGCATCATGTAGGTTGACTCCTCTTGGCGAGAGTGCTGGGAGACCGTAGTGACAGCCATGGTAGCTCTGGAGTCAAAGGCTGTCGTGGGCATGTTGAACTTGTTGTGGGTGTGCTGGTTGAATAGTAGAACAGGTCGTCGGCACTCCGCGTCTTGATGGTAGAACAGCTCCGCGTCGTCGAGTTTTGCGCCTAACCATAGCCTATGCGATTCGGCTAGTCTGGGACGTGCTGGCGGTGAGAGCATCTCGGAGCCTCCTTCAGGTCCTTCTCTGTGCCGTCGTGGTTGAAGCGGGGCTGCCTGAGTCGCGCACTGCTGTCGCCGATGCCGTGATAGAACTGTGTCCAAATAAGCGACATGATGCGCTAATGCCGTAATTTGCGTCCTCTGTGTTTCCAGATATGAATGGCTTCCCGTCGCGTCTGCACTGCACGTGGCGATAGAAAAAAAGGCCGTCGGAACGCGCGTCTGCATTTTCGGCGATAATGGGCGTTATAACGGGGGAGAGGGGGCGGGGGGGTATCAAATCACGCGCCCCCCCCGCCGTGAAGCTCCGGCACCACAAGACCCCGTTTTTTTTTGTTTCCGGGATAGCGGCCGTCATCGGCTCTGCCCCCTCCCCCCCGGATGGTGGCGTCACGGTCCGCGCCGGCGGCGTCCACGAATGCCTGGGGATGAGCCTGTGTACACCATAGTGCTTGCGTGAATCACAACGCGGGTGTACACCACAACGAATGTGTACACCACATTGCTTGCATGCACCGCAGCGCCTGTGCACACCACAACGCTTGTCTACAGCACAGCATCCGCGTGCAACGCAGCGCTGGTGTACACAACAGAGCCTGCGTGCGCAGGACAGGTAGAAGAGTCAGGTTGACTCGTGGCGTTGCAATCCTAAGAACGGTGCTCCCGCACGGTTGTCTCCCAACGGGGCACGTCCCTCAGTGGAAATGAACACTTGTATGGGGCCTGTGAAGAGGGAGCTTGGACGGAGGGTGTATCCCAACATCGCTGATGAGCCTTGGGTTTACACTGGTCCTCGTCCTCCTCCCCCTCCTCTTCCTCCAACTCCTATCCCTGTTCCTCTCTCCCCCCACCCCCTTCCTGCTCCCTCCCCCTCCCGCATCCAGGTGTGGCCGCGCCACAGCCTGTTCTTCTGCGCTCGGTGCGGCTTCACTGCCACGACCGACCCCCGGTGGCTACTGGGAGGGTGCGGCGAGGCCACCAGAAAAGGAAGCGAAAACCTGGCGCGGATCCGCAGGGGTCTGCACCCAGGCCGTCGAGTCCCCGAGGCTGCTGCTGAATGCGATCTGGGGCGAGCTCGGCGCGAAGCTGCGCGCCGACGCCCCGCGGGAGTCTTCTATCCAGAGCCTTCGGGGTTGCCGTGAGTACTGTCCCACTGCATGTGGGTGGCAGGCAATTCCGAGGCAACTCCTCCCTCCCTCCTTGGGTGGTACGGGATAGGTGACGGGGGCGGGGAGATTCACCAAACCTTGGCGCCCGTGCTGCTAGATACCGCGTGTTTCTGCCAGCAGCTGGTGAGTGCAGCACCAAGCTGACCGTCTCCTCGGCGAATCAGAGCGCAATCCAAATCCCTCCTCCATTCCTCCTCCCTTGACGAACCAACGACACACACACACACACACACACACCCGTACCCACAGAGGGGTCGGAGAGGGCTATGGGTGCGTGTTGTCGAAAGGGGGTCCCCGGGCGAACGGGAGCGTTCCCCAGGGTCCGACAGCCCGCACCCATACCCACAGCCAGTCCTCCTCCCAACGACCCCCCTATGGGTATGGGTGTGTGTTGCTCGTTCTTCCTCCCTCCCCGCACGCGGGGCGGGGGGGGGTGCGCATAGTGCCACGAGGAGCGCGAGTTGTAGCCGCGGGTCCCCACGGCCGGCAGCACCTCTCGCGGGGGGGCGCGCGGCGGAGGCGCCCGCGCCGCATGGCGCCCCCTGGCGAGCCTCGACGGCGACGACGACGACGACGACGACGAAGGACGACGACACGACGACGACCTTGCCGCCGCTCGGACGTCCATTTCCCGTGCATGTTTCGGTGTCGTGCGTGTTTTTTCGCTCGATGGTCCAGGATGTTCCTCAAGGGTCCTCGCCGAGAAAAACATACACACGTCCGAGCGATGCCAGGCGACTGGGCCGACGATGACGACGCCTCCGCCGACGACGACTGCACAACCGACTGCACGACGGGACGACTGCACGAAAATGACGACGACGACGTCGACGGCGACGCCATCGCCGTCGTCATCCCCCCCCTGCTTCCCTCGTCACCATCCCTCCTTGGTATCGATTCCAGGCTGCTTGGTCGCTTGATTTGGATTCGAGCCTCTGGCGGCAACGCCCTCCTCCCGAGGGCGGGCCCGCGGGGGGGGGGGGCAACTTGCCACGACAGCGGCGGCGACAGCACGGCCACTGATTTTATCGCATGACTTGCGCCGCAGTGCGTGGCCACCAGCCGGTGCAGTCCCTTCTCTTCCCGTCGCTCGGACGTCCATGTCCCGTGCATGTTTCGATGTCGTGCGTGTTTCTGTTGCTCGATGGTCCAGGATGGTCCTCGCCGAGAAGAAAGTGCACACGTCCGAGCGATGCCAAGTTCTTTCCTCCCAACATTCGGCGGCGAGCCCAGGGTGGACGTGAGGAGTGCCAGGCCTTCTCAGAAGGCGGCGGCGCCTCTCGGAAGTCCTTAACGGAGGCGGCGACAACACGGTCACACTTTCGTCGCATGCATTGCGCGGATCGTTGTGGCCTCCAGCTGGTGCATGCCTTCCTTGCCTCCCGACATGGCGATGACGATGCTATCATCGCAATCATCGTGACATCCCCACTCGTTGGGCCAGTGGAGGGGCGATGGCGACGACGTCATACCGTCATCGTCCTTCCGCCTATCCCCAAACTCCACCCCTCCCTGCTGCATTCCCCCTTCCACCTCCCCAAATACCTATTCCCTCACCTCCTCGTTTCTCCTGTTGCCCCCACCCCCCCCTTGGGTTCCCTCCTCCCTCCGCCATCCATACTCCTTCTTTCTCCACCCCGTCCAGCTATTGTGTGAGCCTTCATGGGAGCCTCTGTGGACCTCCGCCGCCGTATCATGAACGTAATGTCGACTGGATGTCGTCCAAATTTCGACCACCCTCTTCACCCTTTCGTCCTGATGTCGTTCGGATGTCGTCCACGTGTCGCGACCAATTCCGACGAAATTCCCTAAATCGCAAAAACAAAATACAGTAGAGGCCAGTCCACAAGTAACCTTGAACAAGAAACCCAACCCTGAGACCCCAGGACGTCCATTGATTTCTGGTACGGGAACGGCACGCTTTCCATCCCAAAACCATCGAAGCCCAAGAAACCCAGGGCACCCTGGAGGCAAGCAATGTATTTCTTGGCATGGGCCTCCACTGTAAGACCCTCTGAGGCTCATATGGAGAACAACACAGCAACGTCTTTCCTCCATCCTCCCTGCCAACCTGCCAACCTGCCAATCACTTTTGTGTCCCCGCTCCCCATCCCCATCCGGCTCCGCTCCGCCGTCGTCACGCCGCGCGCTTCCCTTACCATGATATCGGCACGCCCTCCCAGCACCATCCACTTATAGTCGATGATGTACATGCCGAAGAAGACTCGGCCAGGCCGTCTATTGGCCGAGAGGGCGTTTTGGAAGAGGATGGGGGTGGAGGAGGGAGGATGCAGGGCGAGAAAGGAGAGGAAGAGGGGAGGGGAGGGAAGGAGAAGGGCGAGAAAGGGGACGACGACGAGGTATGTCTGGGGCAGGGTAGCCGAAGGCCTTCAGATATCCACAAACTAGTCAACAAAGCTGCCTTCTTAAAGAAGAAGTCGGCGCTGACCCGGCAGCGCGGGTCGACCTCTTGGGTTGGGATCATCTCTTCTCCCTCTTCTACCCAGACTTCTCCGGTTTCCACTATCTCATCCCATTCTCCCTCATCGCTCCACTTCCCCCACGCCCCCTCCTTTATCATCCATCGTCTTCTTCCTTCCCACACTCTCTCCTCCCTTTTCCTCCTTCCCTCTCCTGCCTTAGCTGACGGCGCGAAAGCGAAAGGGTGGATCAGGGCGAGGATCCACAATCGAAAACACGGTGGGAATCACGAATGAAAAGGGGGTTGCTGGTAAGCGACGACGATCAATGATGGACGCAATCCAGGAGCAAGCGTCCTGAAACTGAAGGATCACAACCAAACGCAAAATAACCGTACTGCGATGGTGGGACAACAGCACGGAAGTGCATCGCCCCACTGCGAGCACACGAAAACCAATGACGACTTCCAACTCACGAAAACCCGAACCAACATAACTAAAACACGGAACACAACCTCCAAACTAACAAGGAAAACGAAACCAGTAGCCTAAAACAAATCTCGGGACGAGATGGTTATCAACCACCGTGCCGTAAACACTGAATTGAAGACTCACAATTTCGTGTAGGTCCTCGATGTTGCATCCTGTAATGCTCCATGGAAAACCAGATCGACACATTGCCCGACTTTCGTCGGTGTTCCGCGGAAATTGCCGGTTGGGTGGCTTTCCCAGAGGCTCGGGGAGCGTGGTTGGCAACACATACTTCCAACGTGGCTCGGGTCCCGTCCTGGGGTCGCCTTGGAGGCGGAGGCCGGGTCAGGGGTCAGGGTCGGGGTCGCAGCATGCGCCGGAGCGCGCCCTGCGCGGGCCGCTGCGCGCGCGGTAACACGCGAGCCTCTCTGCTGTTGCCACCCCTTCTTGACAATTCCCACACGCGCCTTTTGTTGACAGATTCTCACATATCCAATTGATCTCGGCGTTCTCACACTCGGCACATAGTTTATCGCAGACAGGTGAAACCATTACTCTTGCAATTCTCGCGCGCGGCACAGAAAGTATAACGACAATTGTAGCAGACAAGACAAATGATGCTTAGTAATTCCATCCCCTTGCAGATCGTCCTGTTGTCCTCCTTCAAACAGGGCCCCGCTTCAGTGCAAGGGTCCCCCAGTGTCGGCCCTTGAATGTCTGAAATTTCGCGAGGGGTCCGGCCCTGCGAACCTCCTGAGCTCGCAGCCAAGTTGGAAGACCACATTTTTCGAATTCTTGCTCAGTGCGATGCGTTTCCCGCAGGATCCAATCAACGTACGACTTGTCTGGCGCCCTGCCAGTGCCAGCGATCTCCCTGAACATCTGTTGCATGGCCACATTCATTGAGCTTCTGTGATCTCGCCGCAGCGAGCGCCCACGCACCGCTGCCGCGCATAACTGCAGAGGACACGGCAGCATCGAACAATCTGAGCCTATCCCTCCGCGAATAGCGCATGTTGCACAGGTAATCTCCAAAAATCAACTGTTTGCCAAGGTACGCCGTGATGTCATCCACCGGCAACACCTCGACCTGTCCTCCACCAACCTGTACGTGACGTTGTCGCAACGCGCCCTTTTGGTTCTGCACGTTTGACAAGATCATGGCCTCCCCCGGTGTGGATTGTCAGGCCAACTTCAGCTGCGGCTTCGCTCGGATCTCCTAGCGCTATTCGAACTTGCGCCCGGGTGGATCAAAATAGAATGATGTCGTCCGCAAAACGTCATTTCGTCAACGTCTATGGCAGCACTCTGAAACCGAGCCTGGACGCCCCGCACTTCTCCGTCAGTTGTTGCCTCAGCGATTCCAGCACTGCGTTGAATATAAGTTGGCGAAATCGGGTCTCCCTGCCTGGCCGCTCTTCTTCTGACAAACGCGCGGCTGCGGCGGTCAGAATCCGCCTGCCCCGTGTGATTCGCGCGTGAACGTCTCGACGCCTGCGCGCAGGGTTCCGGAACGCCTTGCTGGGCGCATGAGAAGCGCCCCCCGCCCCCCGCATGAAGAACTTTCGCGGGGCCAATAGGGCCGTCGAGCGACGCGCGATTTGAAGGCGGAAGCTGCTCGACGGTCAGCCAACGACAACGCCGCGACGTTCAGTGCGGGCGGCGCGCTGCTGCCGTGCTCATTGGCATTCGAACTCGGCGTGCCCTTATGCCTGCGCGCGGTCAACGCCCAAAAGCATGGTGGACATTCGCGCGCTCGTGCCAGGGCAAACGCCGATGGGCGCGTAGGCCCTGGGCTGCGCAGGCAAGAGCCCCGCGCGGCGCCCGGGGCCCGCCCTGCACGGGCGCGCATCGAATAGTTTCGATCCACCCCAAAAACAAAGTTCCGGCACCAGGCGAAAAAATTAAATAAATCCACATATAAGCAATCTGAGCTTTCCCGGAGCAGAAAGTCTCGCGCGGGAGAGCTCGGAGAAGCTCATAAACAAAAAGCGCGTTTATAGAAACGCCGGGAACAATTTTAGATTGGCCAGATTACCTCAAAGGAAACGCTCCCGATCTAAACTTTTCCGCCGGCGGGGTCAGGGGGGGCGACGGAGGCGGGCGCGGGGGCCCTCGGCTGGGCCAGCGGCGCTGCCGCGTGAGGGACAGCGCCGCCGTCGCCTCAAACTGCGAGCCGCGGCCGCGGCACGCGCCGCGCCGCCCAGGGCGCGCCGGCGCGGGCGCGGCCGCGTCGAGCGGGCCCGGGGCGTCGCCGCGCGCGCGGGGCCCCCCTGCGGCAGCTGGCAATGATCTCGCCGGCGGAGCGCCTGCACTGACGCTCATTCGCCGAAAATGCAGAACGCTGCCGTGTAAAATCCATAACTGCGGGGGCTGGGGTCGGTTTCCCACTGTTTACTTGCTCTGTCAAAGCATTCCAACTGGCCGAGTGGTTCGCGGAATCAAGCGCCTTTTCGAAATCAACTGCAGCGACCCAGACGTCAATGTTGAACTCCCTTTGCCTTCTCAACATTAAGCGCCAACGTCGCCGGATGATCTTCGCATCTGCATCCTTTCCGGATGCCCGCTTGGTCAGCGGACCGCTGGCCCCCCCGGAAGGCCTCCGAACGTCGGTCCAGAACCATTGCAAACAACTTGTATATAATTGGTGAACTTGTGATGAAGCGGCATTTTGCAGGTAGTTTCGGGTCGCCTTTTTTGAACAAAACCTTCGCGCAATTGCGCCTCCACGAATCTGGCGGCGCATCCCCGCGCGCCAGGATGCTCGTGGAGACGTCGGCCAGCACCTGCTTTAAGTACTCCTCGCCAACTTTGAACATGTCGGCGACGATCCCTTTGGAGTCTGCTGCCTTCCCTCTCTGCAGCTTTCTCGCGTGGTTGTCAATTTCGTCTGATGTAACTGACGGTGCATCGAGCGTCTGCCTGTGTCGCCGCCCGTTCCTTGCTCTTCCCCAGCACGATGCAACTCCTCGTAGAAGCCGCCGAACACGTCAACGATGCCTTGCATATCCGAGCAAACGTTTCCACCCTTATTGATCCGGCTAGTGAGCTTCATTTTCTTGATATTATTGCGGGTGTCTTTGATGCGCTCCATGTTATTGAATTCTGTCAAGATCTCATCAATATTCTCCGTCTTCCGCTGGCGCTCACAATCTCGAAATGCTCGCTGGAGCTCCTTGCGTGTCTCTTCCATCGGTCTGTGTTCCCCTTATCCTCCACGTGCAGCTCGTTTCTCTCACATCAGATTCAAGATGTTCGGCGGCAATTTTGCACGGTCGTTCTCTGGCTGCTCTGCGTTGCCCCCTTTCTGCATCACAGATGCCTTCAAACACTCTTCCAAACTTGTCACACGCTGCCGCTGCATTTGGTCGTCGCCCCTTCTGTTTGTGTTTTTGTACTTGATCGTATGGCGACTTCAACGTCTGCCGCATAACCGACTTGAGGTCGAACTTTGAATCCTCGAGGTCTCGCCGCCTGCGCGCTGCGACGGCCGCCTTCCTGCTCTTACGGCAACTTCAAACGCAAAATGAGTGCTCTGCAGTCTGCCCCGACCCCAGAAACACACATTTCTTTCGCCCGGCGGTAGACCCAGACGAAGTTGATCTAACGAACGCGAACGCTATTGCTGTGAGTTCATGTACGGCTGTCTTGCATGGGATAATCTGTGTTGGTAGCTGAAACCGACTCTCTGCCAGGAAAAGCGGCCAACGTGTCTCCACGCTCATTCCGACCCCCCACTCCGTGGTCGCCAATAAACTGGCTGTCGCGCGAATCGTCGCAGGTGCCCAACGCGGCGTTCCAGTCGCCCCCCGCGACGAAAATCAGGCCTTGCCGCGCCGCCTGCCATCGTAAGCGTTCTAACTTTGCGCGCGCGGCCTCAGCGTCTCATCTGGATATGTGGCATCAGACAAGCCGAAAAGACCAGTGTGCCAAGTAAATGTCCAGCCGCCACATACGATCGCCGTTTGTCGAAAATGACGATATGTCGGAGGCCCACCGCCCATGCACCAAAATTGCCACACCACTTCGATTGGTGGCCCGTCCGGCCCCTATGAAAACATGTCCGCCCTCAATTACGAGCTGTTCTTCCTCTGCAGACCTCCACTTTTCATTTGCGAAAACAACGCCCCAAGTGCCCAGAACAGATAATTCAGCCAACAGCTCTTGCAACCGATTTTCGTTCTTGATTGACTGAACGTTCTCCGTGAAAAATCACAATGTTGTACATGATTGCGCGTTCCCTGTCTCGTGCTTACCTTCTGCCTTTCCAACTGGTTCCACTCCCGCGCGCTGCGCTGTAAATGACGCCGTTGCGTCGCGACCTCCCGGCTGCGCCCGCGAGAACATACAAGCAGGAATGTCACCATCCATCGTTCTTTAATTACCCCGTCCTCCTCCGCAGCTCCTAAGTGCAGATGGATAGCGATGCAAAAACTGAGCGTTTGTAAATGACATGATTCGTGCTATCTTTCCCACGGTACTGTTGGTCAAGCGCGTGCGTGCGCGCGCCCACGTGCCCTACTCGTCGTCACCTCTCCTCCCGCCACGCTGCTCAAACCACTCCTCGATCTCTGCCTGTGCATTATCTTTGATGTGTTTCCAATCCTCCGCTGGCTCGGTCACTGCATTGTGCGCGACGGTCGCCACAATTTTGCCCTGTAACTTGACCACGCCTTGGTGCCAAAGAATGCGGGCGAGCTCGGAGTCCTTCCCAAATTTGTCAATGAGATGCCCCTTGGTCAATCCAGGTGTTATATCTCGTCCCCGTGCCTTGAAAGTTCGTTTATCAGCAAACCAAAATTTGGTCTCCCCCCATCTGTCTGTCGACGCTCCCCGGATGCGCTGGTGCAAGCATTTCTTCGCCGCATCCGTGGTGAACTGGATGACTCCGACGCGGGCCGGATCCGTGAACGAGAACACCTTCTGCACCATAGTCATCCAGGAGTTCTCCTTCAAGAAACCCTCCACCTTGGACTTCAACTCCTCCTCCTCCAACTCCTCTGGGAAGCCTCCGACGATCACCTGACGAGATCTGGCATCCTCCTCCTCGTTCTCCTTTTCTGCCGCCATTCCCTGCCCCGCCAGCTGCACGCGCTCCATGTCCGCACGGAGGCTGCGAGCCGATTCCATGGCTGAGCTCGCCATCTCCGAGGCCCTTCGGCCTGCAATCGCACGGCCTTCACTTCCTCCGTGAGTTTCGCCACCTCCCTCCGCAATGGCCCCAATTGCTGCGCAAGCATATTGGGGATCGCCCGAATCTCGTTCATCAAACGTCCTTCCATGTCCTTATCTCCTTTCCCCCCTTCCTTCGTCATCAACTCGTCCTCGTCATCATCCCATGGGTAGGTGCCGGCGCTTCGGTCGAAGCCCGATGCTCTGCCGATGGGTTGCCGTTTGCCTCTCTTCCTTTCCGGCGTGCCCCCCATTGGATGTTCACGCTTGTCGGCACGGCATGATCCACAGACGTGCCAACAGCATGCTTCACAAGCCCATCGTCGCGTTCCACCTGGGAAGAGGCCCCCGCAGGTGTCGCACGCGATATCTCGCCACTCCAGCTGCAGAGCGCAGACAATCCAAAAACAAGAAATAATGCAAGTATCGATGAAAGCCTAAGCCCAGATGGGAAACTTGAGCCAAGATGTATCTTGAGGCCAGCACAAGAGTCCAATATTATTGGCACGCCAGAAGTTTCTGCAAGGGCGTTTCAGAACGACCCAAGAGGATCCAAAGATGGTACCAAGACGGTCCCGAGGTCCCCGAGAGGACAAAATAGGGCCCCCAAACAGCCCTGAGTGTGACCCAAGAGGGGAAGCTCGGAGTAACATTTCGAGCCCTTGCCAACCGAGACCGCCAAGAGACCCCCCTGAGGCTCCTCAGAACCCTCCACGACACCATGAGAGACCTCCAAGAGGTCCCTAAGGGCCCCTCAAGAGGCCTCCCATGAGACCCTGAAATGCATCTGAGAGGTCTCTTCACCGCAACCCAGACACGAGGTCGGAACGTCCCGACTGCCACTGTCTACACTAACTGAAATTGAGCATGACCTCAACAGGGGCAAAGGCACAACACTGTTGATTACGGTAACGGGGGGGGGCGAACACCGAGGCAACATCAGATTACATTCTGATATGCTGGGAATGCGAACCATGATGGTATGGGAGTCCGGTGGAGTCCAGAGGGTAGAGTTACTTCTGCAATAACAACCTTAACCAAACAACGTTGGTCCACAGAGCTGCTGTTTCTTAGTTTCCTCAAGTCCCCTCCGCCACATTCCTCAACATCGTTCCTTCGCTACTTCCCCTGTGCATTCGGGACAGATGTCCGTGGATCCTCGAGGCAGCTATTCGACAAGCTCGCTCCGCTGTAGTGCCTGATCGTGGTGCTGCAATCGTTCCGCACTCTTCGCACGGTCCTCCGCATCCCCGCGTGCCCCGCGCGTCTGCCTGCAAGATGAACATGTGGTTGATGTGGTTGTCGCGGCACAACTGGGAGGAGGGATGAAAGACATCCGCATCGCAAACACTATGCCGACTCCAGACGCTCTGCGGGCACACTCGCGCGACCTCTTCGAATACCTGAGCATGTTCTTAGGGTGGAGGGCTCAGGGTGAAATCCACATGGGCTTCCGTTTTGTGATTCACCTTTTGCAGATTCAAGACGCGAACATCCATCGAAGCGGTATTTCAGATTTCACCCTTTGCCCCCTCCACCCAAAGAAACTGCTTGGGACAACGCCTCTGAGAACTCGGAATGGAACGGCAAAGGGGCACTTACCGGAACGCGATAACCCAACGGGAGAACTCAACTTGTGACTCGGCGCAACGCCGCGCGAAACGCAACGTAAAACCTGCCGGCTGCCCTCGCGGCCCGTGGAGGCCACTGCAAGGAAGCGGAATGGCGTTGGCGCGGGGCGTGCTGCAATCACGGGCGAACAAACACAGCCCCAGATCGCTGTGGCGCTGGTCGCAGAAGAGTCCCACTGACGTTGCTTCTCCTCTTCTCTTTCTGCTCCCCCGTGTTGAGCAGCATGGCCATCCGTGGATGGGGGGGAGACGTCATCTGATCAGGCACGCCAAAATTGCCAAGAACATCAATCAAGAACAACTCATTGGGCCCAAACCGACGAGATCATTTCCATTGGCCCCCTGACACAGACCCCGCTGCTCGGCCACAGGGTGCGGCGATGACTCGGCATAAGCGCTTTCGATATGCATGAAAGCCTGTATGAATATGTGAGTACTCGTGTGGGCACTCGTGCATATACACCTGGGTATGGATGCCCAACAGTGTCAAAATTAGTGATCGAATTCATTGTCTTGTGCGCGTGCGCGCGCCAGGCTGGGGCCCCTCAACACCTGCGTCATTGTGGATTCCCTGAGCCAAAAAGCACTTCTGAACATGCGGCCGACTCCAGAAGCTATGCATGCCCTGGCGCATTAGTGGGCCCTGGAAACGACAAGGCCGTTTTTGTTACCGGTTCCGTTTTGCAAGATTTCAACCGGTTCCGACGCCGTTTTTTTTACCAATTCCGTCGCCGTTATTTTCGGGTTCCCGCTCCGGTTCCAATCATGGAGCCGTTTTTGTTGCCGTTTCCGGTCGCCGCTTTTCTGCCGTTTCCATCTTCGAGGGACACCTTTTCGGAAACGGTGAAAAACGGCCCTGCCGTTTCCGGGGCAAGCCTGGCGCTGGCCCTTCCGGAAAGAGCTGTCCGGGAGGGCCAGTCGAGACAACTGTAGCTCTCCCGCCCGGCCCGAACCGCTAAAATGAGGGGGCCCCAGGACACACAAATTAATACACGCAAATCAAAAGATTCTCCATATTTCCCCATATCTTCTGGGTCTCTGTCTTCTCCCCCACTTCCCATAGTTCCCCATATTTCCCCATATTGTCTCGACTGGCCTAACCAGCCTCGAACGTATCCCTATCCCTAAGATGGGCGAGCAAAAAGCGAGGACAATCTTAGGGATAGGCCCTCAAAAAACTGAGGGAATCCTTAAGATCGGCATCGAGGTGAGGTGATGTCAAACATAGGGATAGGGATATGTCCCAGGCTGGTAATGGCCCTCCTCCGGTGCTGCACTTGGCTTCCGCCCGCTCCCGCCACGAGCTGCCAACGCCACCACGTGCGGCGGCCCGTGCCGGGCCCCCGCCGGCGCGCCAGAGGTCGGCTCCGCCGCGGTCCCGCGGAGGCGAGGCACGTTTGGCCGAAGGGCCCCATTGCGCGTCTGGCGGATTCGCGTCGCGATCACGTGGGCGCGGGGCCCTGACACCGCAAACCCAGACCATGGTAGGGAAACGAACTCTATATGCACCGACGCTTTTACCGACCCTGCGCTGAGATTCGCACAGGAACGCGGATTCTGGTGTATACGGGATCTTGGTGCATACATTTTTCGCTGCTTCCCTTGGAAAACGGGGGAGAAGTAAAAACAACACCACCCCGACGTCGTCCCCGACCCTTACAAAGTCGTGGGATTGAGAAACAACCCGCCACTGGTACGCGTCGGTCGGAAGAAGTAGGTCAAAGCATGAAGCAGGAAGGCTGATAAAGTGGACTGTGCCCAGGCCCTCCCAGAAAACAACAACATACAGCAACAGCATGCCGATTTTTTAAGCAGGCAGGCGCTTGAAGAAGATTGCGATCTGGGAATCCAAAGATCGGGGATCCTCTGACCCGGGTCAATCCAGACCCGGATCAGCAGGAAACCAAAAACTGCAGTGCAGGAAAACAAACTGCAACGCAGGTCTTCGCAAACCCAGGTCAGCCAATATGCGCGGCCGCCTCGCGGCCACGAGCGGCTCGCGAACCCGGGCCAGCCAGAGGGGGCCTTCGCAGAATCGTGCAGGACCTGGCGCTCTGGCTGACCCCCACTTGCACTGACCCTCGTCTCTCAGGCCCCGAACAGATACCCACATTTGACGACCGGCACTGTAGTGTACACCTTGGGCGATGCTTAAGAAAACTTAAATGTTCGGCCAAAGTCTCGATTATTCTTAATGTTTCAATGTGAATCCTAAGATTTGAATGGAAATGTTGGGTTTTTATTCAAGTTCTGAGACTATGAATTTCTTAACCCATGATTTCTTAAGCATTTCGCAGGGTGTATACCTTCCAGCTGGCGGCACGGAGCACCGGCCGAGCCCAGGCCGCGGGCGGCCCTCGGCCCGGAGCGCCCGCGGAGGGCGCCGACCCGCCGCGCTGGCGCGGCGCGGCCCTGCCGTGCGCACAGCGCCTTCGTCGCCGCCGCGCCGGCACGACGCGCCCCTACCGTTGCGGACACCCTCATCCGCCATCAACTCACGACCCAGAGACCATCAACAGCGACACACCATCACCTGTGAAGAGAAAGGATTGCAACATCACCCCGACGGAACGAATGACCCCACAACCAGTCTGCCCCTACAGAACCGTCGTTGGCACACCTGGGGAAAAAATCATCGGCGCCACCATCACGGAAGCACCCAGCGCCGACAACACGGAGCGCACGTGCACGAAGAACGAAGAGGGCCACTACAGTCAAAAATCCCAATAAGGACGCGCGGTAAGGACGCAAAACCCTTGGAAGCCGAAGGGATTTCTGGCGCCCAAGGACGCAAGAGCAGGGAAGAGCAAGGACGCAAGGGTGCTCTGAGCAAGGTCGCGCGTCCTTATCAGGGTTTTTGACTGTACCGCTGCGGACGAGCAGAGTGTGCGCCCAGAGACGAGCGCGTTCCACTACTCGCAAAGCCACTGCTCGCACATGACCTGGATCGCCGCGGGGGATCCACGACAAGTTCTGTCGAAGCAGACATGTATGTTTCGGACGTTTGCGAGTAGGCACGTTGCGAGTAGTGAAACGCGCTCGGTGAACCCAGGCGGTGGCGGCCGCGGAGGAGGAGTCAATATGACACGCGCCGAGGACAAGATGCAACCGTAGAACCCGATAAAGGATCCCCCCCGTTATCGGTAGCACCCCAAATTCATTCAAGGGGGGGGCGACCGCCGAGCGAGATCGTTAGCACCACGACGAATTGATCTATTCAGTAATTCCGCGGGGGGCGGGGACGGTGGGAGTGCGATGAGTAAGACAGCCCAAGAGAGGCCTCGAGACACTCGCCGACAGTCCAGATCCCCGAGACTGCCCTCCTACAATATTCAGATCCTGGGTTCCTCTTTGAACAGTTTCAGAGCCCGATGGGGATAAGAATGGGATATCACTGGGTTCATGTTGCAACTCTCTCGGAGGCTCATTGGAATCCGATTGGGTCTAGTTGGAATCCTATTAGGAACTCGGTGGGATCCCGCACTGCGGGGCCTCGGGGCGGGATATCTCTTCCATGTACGAGAAGCGATACGTCTTCGCCGAAAACGCAGGGGGGATCATTCATTGCTTCCCACGCTTACTTCTGGTATGGCGCTGGCGGCCTCACCGCACACACGTCCGTCTCCCATCTCACCAAACATCCGACGTCGCATTTTTGTCCGCAACGCGGCTCCCCAGAGGTCTGGAGCCCCTCCATGGCGCCGGCTGTTCATCCGAAATACTTCTCTTGACGGTCGCGTGGCCTGGTGAGGCTCCCCCAGGCAACAAAAAAACTGTAAAAAGCCCGCCGTCGTGATTTCTAGCGTCGCGGAGATACCCAGACCTGTTCTGGGGTCCGTTCTGGCCAGAATTCCGAGGCGGATCCAGCCGTGGCGACGAAGAGCAGCCTCCTCAAGGTCCACAAGGGGTGTAGAAAACCCAACTCCGATCCCGAACCTCGAACCCCGACGGTGCGCCGAGGCGGGGACAGGGCCCAGAGAGGAGCGGCTGCACGCAAGAGCGACCCCAGGCAAGAGTGGCCCCCGAAAGGCCCGAGGGTGATGGGCGTGTTTTCCACCACCACCACCATAAGTTGGAGGGGGGGAGGAGGAGGAGGACGAGGAGAAGGAGGACGAAGAAGAGGAGGAGGACCCCCTCCCCCTCCAACTTATGGTGGTGGTGGTGGAAAACAGGCCAATCAGCAAGAGCGACCCCAGGCAAGAGTGGCCCCCGACAGGCCCGAGGGGGGAAGCCGCAGAGGCAAACCCGAGCGCGCAGGCCGCTGCCGTCGCGTCGCGCTCGGCGCCCGGGTGGCCCCAGCGGGCCCCCACCGAGCGTCGCTCTGGCGAAGGCCCTTCGCCGGAGCGACACTTCCAGGGGTCACTTCGCTCCGCGAAGGCCCTTCGCCGGAAGAGTGCCCCTTCAATTTGGAGGTAGGAAAGGGGTATGGTGTAAAGGGGTGTGGTGCTAATTTTAGGTAAAGGGGACTCTGGCGATGTTATTTGTCGCAGATAGCATCGCCATTTCCACGATTGGCACCATACCCCTTTATGCCACACCCCTTTCCGACCTCCAGATTCAAGGGGCACTCTTCACCGCACCCGGAGAGGCGCTGCAGCAGGCTGCCAGGAGTGCCCGGGTGCGCCGTGGGGAGGGCCGCCGCGGCGCCCTGCCGCCCCCCCGGGCCGCCGCCGCGAGCCTGCGCCACGGCGCCCATGCCCCACAGGCACAGCAGCACTGCGGGGGGGGGGGGGGCGCGGGCCGTGTGCGGGCCCGGGCCCGGGCCCGCTCCACGGGCCTCGCCCGTCGCCCCGGCCCAGGCGGCCCTCGCCGGCTCCTCGTCCTCCTCCCCCACTGCGCTCCTCCCCACACCCGCTCCTCGCTCCACGATCTGCCTGCATCCTCCCTCCCCTTTCCTCCCCGCCCCGCCCCCGCCCTCCATCCCTCCTTCTCCCTCGTGTGCTCCTCCGGCCAGCATGAGGGGGAGGTGAGGTGACTGAGAGGACGGCGGCGAGGTGTAGGACGAGGATCGCGCGCGGCAGAGGAAGGAACAGGAAGGGGCGGACAAGGGAAGAGAGGCGAGTCGGAGGACAACCATCCGACTGCGCCACATTGGCCGCCAACCTGCAGGTCGCATGGTAGGAGGAAAAATATGACGAGGAGCAGGAACCAATAAAGAAAAGAGGAGGATGAGGGAAAAAGCCGGAGGGGGTGGGGGAGGGGGAGGAGAAGGAGTGAGGAGTGAGAAGGAGAGCCTCGGGCCCAGAAGGCCGCGGCAGTGTGCTAGCCCTAGGGGGGCCAACCTCGACTATAAAACCGTCCATTTACCATCCACTGTTACATCCATTTCTAAGCCATACCCTTTTTACATTCCTTTTCGACAACATCATCTTCCCCTCAGGACACCACGACTTCGTCGGCTAATCCAGCATGGCCCCGTCGGCTACGCGAACAGCGAGCTCAAGCACAAGTACTGCTACGAGTCGCCTCTGCACGAGACCTCCTTGACCACGAGATTCTCCACAGGCTCTACACAGCGCGCCAGCTCCTCGCCGCGCACCACAGCGTCCAGCAGCCACCTCGGTATCCACTTAACGCTCCAACCATGACGACATCATGGTTGGAGCAACCGCGAGCGGACTGGGATTGGTGCAACCACCGTGGAGATCAGCATCGAGCCGCCAACGATCCAGAAATAAAACAAAACAAGGCCCACTACATCAACCATCAATGCAGGACTCGAACGCTGGCAAAACGACAACTGAATGGACCAATAGCCCGACAACCATCCGCAAAATCCTGGAGCCTGAACCTCAACGGGAAGGGCAATTACCAGGACGGCAAGAGGAGGAACGACCACCAGGATCCCGCCAGCAAAAACCAGAAAGGTAAGGGAAATAATAACAAGAGAAAAGGGCAAGACCCAACCCGAAAGGAAAAGACGCCAAAGAAGAAGGACGACGGCCAGAACCAGAACAACAACTACAACGAACACATCACCAACACGATCAACAACGGCATGCCCATGAGGAAAATCTACGCCGTCAGGAGGCACGACTGGGAGCTACCTCCCAACGACAACAAGCTGAGGGACGAATGGAAGACGATCAAACACGCGAGGAACGAAGAGCGGCAGCTGCTGTCGGCAAAAACAGTGCAGCAGGCTAGCCTACTACCGACGCCGTCCCACAGATCGCCTGCATCAAAGCGATGGTCCTCAACAGCATGCCCTTGGCCCAGCAGGCGAGGGAGATCGACAATACCAATAGGACCATGGAGGACTACTACAAGCATTCCAAGATTCACTAGTAACGGGTAGCGATCTAAATTACACGAACGAGATCGAGAACAAACTTGAGGAGCTTACCACCGTGCAACGCGAGAACAACGATGCACGATGATTTGTGGTCGACAACGACACACAAGCTGCAGTTGGCAAAGCGGACCAAACACACATGCACGTGCCAGCGAGAAGATCGCCTACACCATCACCAGCACCAAGGAGGCAGACAATGGCAGGCGAAGCCACAGCCGGGCGGAACCTGGACACCAAGCTCAGGATGTTGGAGGACAACCAGTGCATGGCCAAATACATAGAGAAAACCAATGCCAAAGCCAACGACGAGATCAACAGCCTCAAACTACACCTCCGTGCCGCAGAGGAAGCTGCACGCCGACATGAAAAGGACCATCATCTTGAGGCGGCACGGGCCGAGAACTATAACAACGAGCTGAAGAAGGAGATGCAAAGTTCAAAGCAGGCTACATACTAAATGGCAGCACACCACGAGAACATTCAGATCATCAACGCGGATAAACTCAAACGGGCGGAGGCGGAAATCGAAGCCATGAAGAGATCTCCAATTGATGCAGGGCATCAGTCTCTTACACCAAACGGCAACCACCTGCAGAAGCAGCTCCAGGAACTGCATAAGAAACATGCCTATAGGAACCACAGGCGAGACAGCGTGGGAAAAAACTTTGAGACTCGGGAAGATGGCAGCATAAAATACATACGCACCAAAAAACAATGATGATATTTCCAAAAGGTCATTACAGACATGCGCAACTACGAGCAGCAAGTGAATTACAATGCTCTGTAAGGTGAAAGACAGGTCCATCTCGCACTGCATTGAGCTGATATGGGCACAGTAGAACACCATGAAGCCTTTCAACATGAAAAACAAACTTATCGCCACAGAGAGACGCAGTGAACACTCATTAAGGAAACGCACGAGAGGAGGACGAATGAACCTACTGAGGAGTTCCAATACGCCCGAAAGTCGGATGTCTTCTCCCAGCAGCGCCTCAACAATGTCGAGATGGTCGACGTCATCAACCAAGCTTTCAACATGCCGATCGCTACGGACGACGAGGACCTTACAGCCGCCACGAATACAATTTCCCCAACCGTCCAACCACTTCAGCATCCACTGGGGGATGGAGAAACACAAGACCCAGACACACCGACAAAATGCTCCGCGAAGCTGGCGTACATGCAGCATTCGTATCGCAACCTTGTAAGCATCCTCAGAGGCAGTACCACATGTGCACTCCGCGAAGGACACAGAGAGGCACGACTACGCCGCCAGGAGAACCTCAAAGACCGACGAAATAGAATGGCCAATCGGTGTCCCATCGGTGTCCGGTTGGAGTCCCGTCGGTGTTCCGTTGGTGTCCCGTTGGTGTCCCGTCGGTGTTCCGTCGGCGGAGGGCGGGCGGTAGCCAGGGGTGTCCCGCCTTCGTATCGATAGTGAAGTCGATAGTGAGATGATAACGAGATCGCGAGAATGGGATGGATAGTGAGATAATAAATGAGATCGACAGCGAGGTTGTTTGTGATCTGGATTGTGAGATTGATCGTGAAATCGATAGTGAGGTCGAACGAGGACTCGATAGTGAGCTCGATCGAGATATTGATAGTGAAATCGAAACCGAGATCTAGAGAGAGATCGAAGGCGAGATCTGTAGTGAGATCTACGTGATCGATCGAGTGTGATCGATCCAATGAGGTTAATAATGGGATCGATCGAGTGAGATCAGAACTGGGAACGATAGTGGCATTACGTCGCAGCGCAACATCGTCATCACGCGTCGTCACAAACTCGAGGGCAGGTCACCAGCATCTTCATAATCACACCCATCGCAATAGCCAACAATTGATTCCTTCCCCACCAACCCCCCGTCCTCCTCATGACCCGAAGGGTGGTCGTGCAGGTAAGATTGTGGGACACACAAACCAATACACACAAATAAAACGATTCCTCATATTCTGCCACATGTTCTGGGTGTTTGTCTGCCCGCCCAATTCCCACATGTTCGCATATTTTCCTGGGAATCGACGCTTCCTTGTGTCTGTGTGTGTTTTTCCCCTCCTGAAAGATTGAGCCCGTGCCCGGGCACGCACGTGCAAAACCTTCACGATCTCAGCCCGCTCCGCCGGCCACGGCCTCCCTCCTCTGTGCCCTCCGCGCTCCTCCCGCCTCCCTGCCGTGCCCAGCGACTGCCCCGCGCAGTCCCCGCGCCAAGCCCCGCGCAGTCCCCGCCGTCCCGACCGCGGCTCGGAGCCAGGTCTCCGCGGACGTAAAAAGTGCGCGCCCTGCTCATCCCTCCGTCCTGCCACTCCTCCAGCTCCTCGCCCGGCCGCCCTCGCTTCTCTCTCCCTCCTCCTTCGATCGTCCTCCTGCTCCTCCTGCGCTCTCCCCTGCTCCTCCTCCTTCTCCTCTTCCGCCTCCGGATCTCCTCGGTTTCCACCCCGTGGCCTCTGCCCGCGTCAGCGCACTCGTCACTCCGACCGCACGCGCGTCCGAATCCGGCGACGGAAGGAGGCGGGCGCTGCCAGACAACACCACGCGGAACACGGCGAAGCTGGACAGGAAATACGACTGGTTGAAGGTGCCGTCCTGGCCCCTCATCTCCTCATCTCCTCCTCCTCCTCCTCCTCCTCCTCCTCCTCCTCCTCCTCCTCCTCCGTCTTCTCCCCCCTCGGTTTCATCCCTCGTCTTCTCCTCCTCCCTCCTCCAACTCATCTCCTCCTCCTCCTCCTCCTCCTCCTCCTCCTCCTCCCACACCCTCCTCATCCTCCTCGTCCCTCCTTCCTAAGTCCTCCTTCCCCTCGTCCACCCCTGTTCCTTCTGAATGACTCCGTGCACGCTCGATTCAAAAACTCCCGACAACTATCCACTATTGAGAGCAAGCCGCTCTCAAACTGTCAGGTGCCTGATTATTGGCTCTCTCTCCAGCCTGACTATTGACTCCGAGGTTCCCCTGCCCCTCGGTTCGGATGATTCCAAGGAGGGCCTCGGATGAGGCAAAGCGATGCCCAAGCGAACGAACGAACGAACGAATACAGCTGCGGACAAGCGTCCAAGCCCACACCGAAAGCGATGGGCCACGGCAAGCCCACCAGGCGGCCCGGGACAGCCCGAAGGGCCCGGGGCGCCCGCAAGAGGGCCCCGAGCTTGTCCAGGAGCGCCGCGCAGACGGCTGCTCCTCAAGGCAGCCCCAGGAGACATCCCCAAGAGGGACCCGAGAGGGCACCAAGACGGCCCAGGACGGCATCGAGAGGGTCCCCACCCCGCAGCAGCCCAATACAGCCAGACGAAAGGCCCCGATAGACTCCACGAGCGCCACTCCAAGGATAGAGACGGAGACGAGGGGTAAATATCGCATGCCAGATCCGCCACCGCACAAAGTGCTGCGCTGGCACGGTGGCGGAACTAACCGCAAGCAATTGGACATCACCACCA